GCTGACTGTTCAATTCAAAAGGAAACTGAACAATGGGATGTATTGTATAAATGGCTGCAGTTATCAGATAGTGTTGGAGTAACATAGAATTAAACTAAAATTATAAGATGAAAGCAGGAGGGTAATCAAACTGAAAAAGCAAAAAGTTGATTTGTTATTGTAATATTAATTGATCGGATGATTGTATACTCTGTGTTCTCCTATCCCCCTAACCCTTTCTCCCTTTTCCCTATTTCCCCTTACTTTTTGTATACCCCACCCTGTCCTTAAATAAATACTAAAAAAAGAACTTAGTAAAAGGAGAGGAAAGCAAGTATTTACAGTTGTTAACCCAATCTTACATAATAGTAAGAGATAATACAATAAAACCGTATAAAGATATATTAGTAAAAAGATACACAGTTTACATAATAAAACCATTTATAAATAGAGCACTATGTATGGTCTGCGGAACTAAAACCTCACAATCATACATCTGCGGGTGAGCATAGCACCATTACAGAATCTGGCAACACAATTCGTGGTCTGTAATGAACTGTCCAAAAGAAGTAGCTTCACATAGAATTCAGTGGGCCTCTGGAGGGAAAAGCATGAATCAAAGAGATCCTGCAGTGCTTTGATCCCTGCTTTCCCCTTCCACTTGAGGCTTAGCAAATGAATGGGAAAAGCAGGAATCAAAGCACTACAGGATCATTTTGATCCCTTTCCCCCTCCAATTGTTTTTGTTTTCAGGTTATTTCCATGTATAAAATGACCCTCAATTTTTAGTCTAAAGATTTTAGAGAAAAGTACCATCTTATACATGGAAAAATACGGCCTGCCATTGGTTAGAAAAGCAATAGTGATGAAAGAACAAACATATATAGTGTCACATCTTTATGACAGAATAATTCAAAGTGAAGATCCTGGGGGGGGGGGAATCACTTTAAGGATGGATGTGGTGCTACATTTCATTAAGAGTAGCCCATAGACTTGCTGGCAGCTAGAAGGAATAATTTGTTCATCTTTGCAAATACTAATGGTTTGCTTGAAAGGCCTGTAAAGTGTCCTAGCTTTTCCTTCTTAAAGGATTGGGAGAAAGATAGAGCAGCTTCATTGGTACCCTATATGGGAAAATTAAGTCTTAGCAGACTTAGCTCTCTGTGTCTTTGTGTGTATGTGGATGGATGCAGGAGCATCTTGACTCCACTGAGCCATGAAATTCGCTGAGTGATTTTGGATCTATCAGCAACCAGCTTCACTTATAGGATTGTTCTGAGGATAAAGTGAAGGAAAAGAGTGATGCATATATGGTTCATTGAAGGAATGGTGGGATACAAATGTATGGTGATCAAACAAATGGGAGATATTCATTAAACTGGCAAGATTACACACACTGCAAGAAAATGATACCACAAAAGAAATATCCAGTGTATGTGTGTCTCAGAACACATCTATATATAGCTGACAAACTGGAAAACTGATTCTAAAATCAACTTCTTGTAAGGTCATCAATTGGTATTAAGCAGATAAACATTCTGAACTGCATTTCATGTATACAGTGCAAGACAGACTCAAAAACACCATGTCACTTGTAAAATCTGTTAAAGATGTCTCATGGTGTCAGTGAGGTACCTGGGTCAATGTTTTTTCATGTTCTAAAAATGTGGAATTCACTACTCAAGACTGACAGCTTTGTGTCGTGCTTGCAGAACATCTATGATGTTCATATATATAGTCTGTTTAATAAATCTTCATTCTTGATAGGGAAAGAATATTGCAGCCTGACCATTAAGGAAGAGAGTAACATATTGCCCATAAAGCCCTGTTCTGTCCTGTTATTTGATGTTTTTGGCTAAAACAGGGACAGATGCCCTGTCACTTCCACTTCTAATTCCAGCTACTGGAAAAGGATTTCGGCTTCTGCAATTGTTACTTTTTGAAAAGTATTTAAATAGGTAACAATTCTGGATCTGTTTTAAAATTTCATTTTAAAAAAACCACTACTTAGGACCCTTCTAACAAGGTGGCTTTGTGAGGCCCCCAAGATGGAGGCCCTGGTAGGAGTGTCGTCGCTCCCGTCGAGGGCCCGACACACTCAAACATCTCCACCTCCTACACCACCGCGTTGGGAAGAGAAGGGAGTGGAGACCCCTGATTGGGGGAAAGAAACCTCAGAACCCCCTACGAAGAATAAAGGGGTAGATACTAGCAACCTGGCGTCAGCCATGAAAGAGTTAAACATTACCCCCAGGTCCGGGGGAACTTTGGCGGGAAGAAAGGGGGAGGAGATCGAAGCGGTGGTAGGAGATATAAGGGAAAAGAGGGAAGAGATACCAGGCGGTTGGGAATGGATCTGGATGGAAGATCCGTGGACCCACAAGTGGGAGCAGGTGCGGGTCCCACACGAGGAGGCTGAGAAGAGACATCAGCTAGGTCTCAAGCCTCGTCCCTCGTATTGGGGAGAGACGGAGACCAAAGAGTGGAGGCGGAAGCTGAGGGAAGAAAGAGAAGCAGTGGCCCGTGAGTTGGAGAGGAAAAAGGCATGGCATATAGCCGAGTTACAGAAGTTGGGGGGTTTCCCGGGCCATGGATGGCCAACGATGGAGAGGGGTCGTCTTGGGGGGACTGGAGCGGGGATGAAGAAACCGTTCCCTTAATTGTTTTGGAAGAAGAGTTGAACCCCATTCCTGGTGCTGTGAAGCCCTTAACAGGACCATGGAAC